GTGTGCTAGATAGGTACTTTGCCACAACACCTACTCACCAGTCCTTCCTTCCCTTTAGTTATTTTTCAGATAGGTCCTTTGTTTTTACCCAGGCCTCACTTTGGACTGTGATTCTATCTCTGCTTTTTAGGTTATTCTGGATAACAAGCTTCTACCATCAAGTCCAGTCAAACAAAGAAAGGTCTTAGTTTACTAAGGCCCTCTTTCTTTTTATGTAGCATTGTTGCTTTCTCTTGTTTCTTATTTTGGGTTAGGAGAGGAAAACAGCATCACTCTAAGTATTCAAACACCTGGATTTATCAAGAGTTAGGCGTGTTAGCAATTGATTTCAATATACTGGATTCAGTTTCCACTCCTGACAAAGATTCAATGATGGATTCCACTACTTTTGTAAGTACAAAATAGCCTATTTGAAATATAGTATAGACAAGTATGTCCTTAAGTCTGTAAAAATGGTGGAGGGTACCACCCTTAGCTTCAGTCATTTCATTTTGGATGAAACACCTAAGTACTTGGCAGATTTTCATTATGGGAAGCATCTTTGACATTGGAGTGCCATAGGAGGCAGAAAAGTCTAGGCTGGCTGTTTGGCATTTATCCTAGACTTAATGGCCCGAAGTATATGGGCTCTTCCTGTGTCCTCCTAGAGTTACCCGCCCAGATCACCAGGAAATGGAGACAGAAATTCAAAGACAAAGCCAAGAATGGGGAAAATAAAACAATGGCATTGGGAAGTATGTATTTAAAATGCTGGCAACTTCACAGACAATAATGGCAAATGGTAGCCATGAGTAATCAGCCTATGGTAAATGACAAAGATTGGTTCCTAGGTTGGGAAAAACTCAGGATATATTTTTTTCTATTAAAATTAGCTGACAAACAAGGCTGATTTTCTATGCTGTTGCTACCCACTCTCTCATACCGGGCACAACTCCCACCCCACATGTTGTAGAATTATATTCAGTATAGATTTGTTTATCAGTTCTTCCACCCTATCTATTTTTCAGCAGCTGATTAGTCTCCCTGGGATGTAGACACACTCTTATCAAGAGCTGCTCCATTCTTTCCTATCCTCAGACATGCATTTGCTATCCACATTACTGATAATAAATGTGCTCAGATGTACATATATAAACACATTTTTATGCATATATGTTCCTTATATTATATTCAAAGACACATCCCAAATGATATATATGTACACTCATATGCATATAGGAATCCAACTGGATTCCCAGAGGGAACGGTGCAACACATTGTTAAAATGTCTGTCATCCATGTAAGAGAAACAGAAATGAGCTGGGCATTAAATTTGCATACAGCCCCGAGCACAGAGGTTCCTGTATGTGTACTGTTCTACTGTTCTTGATGATGGGCATATCTGACAGGAAGATTCTGTCAGGATTAGCTCAGAAAAAACACCCCCAAGGAGATAATTTGAAGACATACTGAGAATTTGCCTCAATACATGAAAATAAACATGAAATCCTCAGTACTCTCAGCACATTGAAAAGTTCCCACCCACACCCCACCACACACCAGGGGATAATCTACTAGAGCTAATTAACACACAGTCGTACACAACGCTGTGAGAAGTGGTTGCCACTTAGGATTGATTTAGTTGCTGCACTGCTTAAAAGAGACTTGAGAAGGTTTTTGTAAATGTGGGAGGAAACGAAAGGAAATAAAAGTGTAGAAACAGCTGCAAAATTAAAAGGTGCAAGGGTCTCTCCCCCTCAGCTCCCACCCCCAGAAGATATGAGGGGGATTTATTGAAAAACTCTTACTATTCTAGTAAGAAAATGTCTTGATTTTCTGTTTCCGACCATAATGAAATTACACACACTCTCATGCAAGGTCTAAGACTGTGACTTGGTAAAAGGCGTGCTTTACTTTAGAAGCAAACAAGTTCTCCGTTAAATGATACCATATGGATTGGATAATCACTAAAAAAAAAAAAAAAGATCATTTTATGTTGATTTCTCATTTTACTTCAACTTTCTGATTTATTTAGATTTTTCAGCAAATTTAATCATTGATAATAAGTTTCAGGAAAATCTAAGGAATAGTCACAAAATATTCCACTTAAAATACCTTTGCAAATGGTGAAAACAAGGAAAAAAATTCAATTTAATAATGTTCTTCCTTAGCCAGGAACTGGTGGCTCATGGCTGTAATCCTAGCTGTAATCTCAGAAGGCTGAGATCTGAGGATCACAGTTCAAAGCTACACCAGGCAGAAAAGTCCGTGAGACTTTTATCTTCAATTGATTACCCAAAAGAGCCATTAGTGGAGCTGTGCTCCAGTGGTAGAATGTTTGTCTTGAGTAGAAAAGCTCAGGGATAAGGCCTAGGCCCTGAGTTCAAGCCCCAGGGCCAGCACATTCACAAAATAAAATATAAAAATATATCCAATAACTAGAAGGGCTTAGGAACATTTATAAAATAATAATACAAAAAACTTGATTAAGACAGACTTTGTAAAGTAATAGTTAGAATTGCTCTGATAAAAGAGTTGCAGGGCTGGGAAGGTGGCTCAGATAAGAGCACCAAGAAAATACTCCATCCTAAAGCTGAAGGTACAAAAGCTTGGCACTTCCACCCCTGCACAAGTAAGAGATTGTTTCATAGTGGGCACCAGAGGAGAGCAACATTTTGGAAATTGCCACCATGAGCCCTGCCCACCCCATTTAAATGAGGCAAAGAGATTGATTTGTGAGGTAGAGACAAAGGTCATGGCCCTGGAAAATAAAAGAGCTAGAAGCAGCTGCTCAGTCTATTTCAAATACAACACATAAAAAGTTCCAGCAAGTACTGCAAAGCATCACTCTCCTATATTTCGCTTTATCTGCATTTTAGATATTTCTCCATCAACACGGCCACGGACAGCATGCTCTTTGTTTCCCATTCTTTCAAAGAAGGCAATGGGGAGATAAACGTTTTAAATCTTCAAGAAAAAAAAATTGGAAGCAAAAGTGAAGATATCTTTTTTAAAATTTCTTCATTAATTTACTGCTCCAGCTACCCTCCTCCCATCCAAGTGCCGTGAAGGGGAAAGGGCCACCCAGAGAGCTGCTTTTCCCTCTGAGCCCACAAAAGTCTCCAGGATAGCATTGAAGGAGGAAGACAGATTGAAAGGTGTCAGGATGTCATCCTGGATGAATTCCTGGCAGCACCCCAACTGTCAGTTGTAGAAACTTTTCTCAACTGCCTTCCCTCACAAGTTTTACTTTATAGTGACTTTTTTTTTTTTTTTTTGGTGAGTTCAGGTTTGAACTCAGGGTTTCATGCTTGCTTAGGCTGGTGTGATACCCATGAGTCATGCCTCCAGTCTAGGTTTTCACTGGTTGTTCTTAGGGTACAGTGTCCCTTCCCATCCGGATGGGCATCTGAGCTGGGATTTGCCTTCCCATCAAAGGATCATAAGCCTGTGCCCCTACACCCAGATTCTGACTGTGGAGATGCAGTCTCTCAGAATTTTCTGCCTAGGCTGGCCTGGCATGTGCCACTGTGTCCAGCTATGGGTTAAGAAGGGGTCTTGAGAGCTTTTCTTCTAGGGCTGTCATTGAACCATACCTTCTCAATCTCACTCTGAGCCTTCCAAGAATCTAGGATTACAGGAATTGGTTTATACTGATGATGTCAAACAAAAGATTTTCTCCCTCTCTGCATCTTGTAGGTTTTTTTCTTTTTGATACTGGTACCAGGACTTGCACTCAGGGCTGAGCACTCTTGCTTGGTTTTCTTGCTTGAAGTGGTGTTTCGAGTGCCTTTTTTTGTTGGTTAATTGGAAAGAAGAGTCTAACAGATTTTTCTGCCCAGATCTCAAGTACTGGCACCTGACTTCCGGTTTCTCTCCCCGCCCACCCCGCCATCATTTCAAACTCTCCTTCCTTGATTCAGTTTTACATTTTCTAATTTATTCTATGCCCTTTTGTGGAAGGAACCTGGTTGGGCCCTTTGGCCCCATTTTACAGTCGAATAACCTGACAGGATTGTGATTTTACTCTTGTACCTCTGCCTCTATTGGACATCAACAAAATTAGAATCACCGAAGGACAAAAACTAAAGTGTGTGCAGGCTTGAGGGCATGCGGGCGTGCATGTATGCGTGCAAGGTGATGATGGTGATGATGGTGATGATGATGGTGGTGGTGGTGGTGGTGTGTGTGTGTTACCAAGACTCTTGGTAATTCTAATGCATATCCAGTAGTGTGGACTGAAGGAAATCAGTAATTTTCAAAATGGAGGAAGGGACCATGTGCAAGGCATGCAGCCTGTTTCTAGAAAAGGTAAGGAAATTATTTTTTCCCTTAGCCCCCAGAAGCCCTATCCCTGCTGACAACTGTATTTTGTTCTTTGGACCTGTATAAGTGGAAAAGAAATAAAATGTGTTGTTCTAGATGTGGTCCCTTTATCACCACCCATAATATCACCTGTAAATGTATTAGGAAAGCAGCTTCTTTTGTTGTTGTTGGGTTTTTTTTTTTGTCAGTTGTGGGGCTTGAACTTGGGACAAGGGTGCTGTCCCTCAGCTCTTTTGGCTCAAGGCAAGCACTCTACAACTTTGAACCATAGCTCTACTTTCTTTCTTTCTTTTTTTCTTTCTTTCTTTCTTTCTTTCTTTCTTTCTTTCTTTCTTTCTTTCTTTCTTTCTTTCTTTCTTTCTTTCTTTCTTTCTTTCTTTCTTCCTTCCTTCCTTCCTTCCTTCCTTCCTTCCTTCCTTCCTTTCTTTCTTTCTTTCTTTTTTTGTGTGGTTAATTGGAGACAAGAGTCCTCCAGGAAGTTTTCTGTCCAGGCTGACCTTGAACCAGGATCCACAGATCTCAGCCTGAGTAGTTAGGATTGCAGATGTGAGCCACCAGTGTCCTGTGGAAAGCAACTTCTTGATCCTTACTCCCTTCCTACTGTATCAGAAAACTTGGGAGCTGGGGCCAAGTTTCTAGGTTTTTAGGAACCTCCTCCATCATTTTGAAACACACTGGAATTTGAAAACAAAGGCCACCAATACCTTTGTTAATATAAAACTTCTACCACAATTTGTGTTTGCTATAGTAAGAAAGTCTAACCTAATCCAGTGTTCGCTCTTCCACAAGATAAGCCATTTTATAGCCTTAAACTGTATTAAAAATAATCTCCTACCAAGCAGCATTGCCATTGCCTGGAAAATGCACACTTAACCTGCTGAGTTACATCTTGGATTTTCACAAGATTCTTCAGTGAACTACATGTGCACCCAATGCTGAGGAGTACTCTTCTCAAAACTTATTCCAAGTTCTATGCACTAACTGGCCTTTATGATTTTTATGAACCCATGCAGTTTTTCTTTACTTCTCAAAAGTGGAACTCATTCATTCTTTCAGCTGTTAAAAGATAAACAAAGTTGATTTCCCTATGTGTTCCCAGGTCTAGGTATATATTCAATGCCTTTGTTTCTGTTCTAATTGTATTTTCACATCTCTAGAGAAAATGAAGACTTAAAAGGTCAAATTCCTCATGTTTTCTTTAGCTCAGAGATGTATCCATGTTATTCCTTTGGAAATGGGACCTCAGAGGCTTGTCAGAAAACAAAGATGGATTCTTTGCCCTTTGCTTCTTTCCCACACAAAGGAAAGGGTTTCTGGAGGTAGAAAAATGTCCTTATTGACTACAATTAAGACAGCAAGGTGTATGTTTGCATATAGACATATACGTATATATATATATATATATATATACACACACATGTATGTGTGTGTGTGTATTTATATATGTTGGGGCTGAGTAAATTAAAGAGGGAAATATCATCCTTACCAAGTCAAGTTCATCACCCCTCAGGGTCAATCACTGATTTGAGGATACCCCAGATGTCTCTGTAACAGAGGGAGCTCTGTTACTTCTTGTGATTATTCTAAGACCAGGAGGGCCAGTGTGATGGCTAAAGATCACAAACCCACCTGCTCAAACACCTGTTTTCCACCCTGTTATTTTCATCTGCTACTTCAGCTTCATTGAGCTCAGATAAGACTGATCGCTTGAACAGGCCAGTCTTTCACCTGTTTGCTACCCTAGCCTAAGCCTTGCTGGTGGGAAGGGTGGGGGAGCAGACCAAAGCAAGGGCTGTCAGATGGTCTATATTTGTAACAAAGAGGAAGATTATTTTCAAAGTTATAAAGAGAACGCTGAAAGCTAATGATTTTAAAACTATGCCTGCATATGATTACAACCAATACAGAAACCAGCCATATTTAATAAAGGAACACATCACTGAATCTTACAGCCACAGTCTTTGAAAAATAAAGTCTAAAATTCGAAAGTGTAAAACTAAGACATGAAGAAGTCTTCTTCCCAGTATGTTGTGACACTGTTCAAGACTCCTTAGTTATTCTCATCACTTCTTTTTGAGCTCTCCGCGCCATGGGGGTCACCCTGGGAGAAAATGCCTTCTCTAACTACTTAAGATGTGAATATTTGTTGTGAACCAGCTGCAGCTCTAATAACCACTGATCCATGGAATCAAAGGCTGCTCCTCACAAACAAGGAGCTCTTCTTGTTCCTGGAGCTGTGCTCTGTGACCTTCGAAGGTAATATCAAAAAGTAGGCAAGGCGAGGACCAAATACAATCCCAGCCATAAGGCTCTTATTGTGATTGAATTAATTTCTAACTTCAGAAAAGTGGGTGAGGATTTTATCAGCAAAGGTGGTAACTGAATGCAGGACAACTTCCAGGAAGCCGAAGTGAGATATGCCGTATTGTTTTTATTGATTAACACCTGAGACTTAAAATTTGGGCAATATGAAAAGTGTTATCATGCTTTTGATGGTCAAAAATTAGCGCCTGTCCTTTCTGAATATAATTTTCCATGGCAAGAAATACAGTCATTCAGAAACTTTTTCATTTAAAAAAAAAGAATCACTGAAATAAACCTGGCTCTATTTTATAAAACCCAATGGATTCCTTGGTAACAAAGGTATGTATACAGAAATGAAGGTGTATTAGACATTCATAGGTATTACAGCAGACTTTTTTTTGATGAGAATTTAGTGTAAATGAATTCTATTTTCCTCCTCATTATGACTAATAACAAAACATGAACTTTCCATGGGCACTTTATTCTACTTGCATAGCAATAATGGAACAAAATAAACATTTTATTCTGGAAGTGATAGCATTTAGCTATTTAATTTAACTATTAATTAAAAGTGGCATGTAACTATTAAATTTAACGATTTTTTAAACTTTTTTTTTCCTGGGGTAACTATAAATTTGTACTGTTCCTTCTGCCTGAAATTATTTTCTTGACCTTATTTGAAACCAAACTCCTATTCATCCTTCAAGACCTAGCTCAAATAACCTTCATTTCTCTGCAGCCTGCCTCCATGTTTGCTTCACAGGGGTCAGGCCATCCTCAATATGGAATTGCAGTCCAGTACCTGTCAACCCAGTGAGCACCTGAGAAGAATAGGGAAAGGAGAAATAAAAGAACAAAAGTAGATAAAATATGGACAAACAGTCCTAACATAATGGGATTATCATTTTGATAATAACCCAAAAGTTTAAATTCTAAAAACATCGTGTACTATTTGCAATTCATGAATTAGAAATAAAGGTACATTTTGGTATGGAACACATGCTCTGCAACTGTTTGAATTAATACACTGCTGTCAGTTATCCCAAAGACTCCTGCAAAGAAGGGAATTAGCTTCTTTTGCCATTTGAACAATATATAGTCAATAGCAGTATTTATTTAAAAATAACTAGGCACAATATTAATGCAGGTACCCTTGGCTTTTAACTATTCTTCATAAAAATAGGATTAAACAGGGCTAAGCTGATAAGGTCTTGAGATGCTGACAGATTTATTTCATTGCATGGGAGAGAGAATGCCTGAATTCAAGAATGTTCTTTTGTAATCTTTGCTATATAAGTACTAAAATGTGCTATAATTTAGGTGATTTATGAATTTCTTTTCAGCTGAAGGGTTGTATGAGAACCTAAGTATTATCTTTCATACAAGAGGCCTCATGATTTTCATGATTCCAGGTTATGTACTCAACCATTCTGCTGTCTGCCACCTACACGAGGTCACAATGCAAAGTAAAGTCACCCCTGAGCAAAATTGTGAACTTTAAGGCCAAACAACTGCATAAATAATCTGTAGGCCACTGTTTTAAGACTACAGACCATCATCAAAGTCTGGAATTTATGCAAATAACACGGCTTACATTGAACAGATCTGTTAATGGTGCAAGCTTTTCCAGCTAAAAGCAATGAATAAATGAAAAGTTTGTGTGGTGCAAGATTGCCACCTACAGGCCATACTTCAAAATGACAAGCAAGACAATTGGTGCGGAGGGGGAGAAAGGAACAATTTTACTTATGGCATGTTATTTACCCACAGAAGTACAGGAAGATGTAAACATCTTATGATCCACACTGAAGTATGCTGCGATAGTTTTTAATTTAATTCTATAGTTGAATTTTAGAGTTTTTGAACCATATTTCCCCCTTTTCCACCATCGGTGGAGGTTTCTTTATCTGTTGGCAAATGTGAATTGTTTTCTTAGTGGGGCAAAAGTTCTCTTACTTCCTAATAAGTATACAATATTCCTAAACCTATATTTGTTCTCTGTGAGACTCCATAGAATTTATGTTGATAATTTAATACTTTGGTAGGCTGATTAATCATAAAATTTGGAGTTCATGTTCCAAGGTTTGAACAAATTTGAGAAGGAAGGAGGTAGAGTATATTACATACTCTGTGATTCTATATAGCATTTAGGATAAATTTATGCAAAATTGCATAAATATTTAGGATGTTTTTTAAATGTTTTTAAATTTAGAATATTTTTAAATAGTTATTTTTAAATGATATTTCCTTAGAAAAATACAAAATAAAGCTCAGGTAATAGTCTTGTCCTTCCTTTACAAGACAAAAATCTGATTTCCGCTGGTAAAATTACCAAATTTTCAGTAATTTATATAACATTTTCCAAAAATGTTATATAACATTTTTCTAAAATATGAAAATGACTCTCAAAATGCAGATCTATAATGGCTAGTCATTAGAAATGCATTTCCCTTCAATTAGAAAAAATTCTGATTCCGAGGAGACTAGACTTCAAAGCTGAATAATATGCTATGGATAAAACACATCAACAATCTGTCATTCCATATGTAAAAGTAAACATATCATATTATTACTGTGCATGCCATAGACGAGGCCTGAGAAACATTTGAAAAGGTAGAACAAGGTGTTTTAAAATCTCATTGTGTTTTAGATGCTATATAACATTGTCAACTGATACACAAAAAAATTTATCCATCTTTTATACTGCTGTTTACATGATCTAACATTCTGCTTGCCTATCCAATGAAGATATTTCTTATGTTTTTAATTCTAAACAGAATTTAGGGCAAATTCAGGTTTGTGGAAAAACCTTAATAGTGAACTATTCTTATACTTGATTTTGGTTTTGAATGATACAAAATTTAAATCACATAGCTTTGAAACCTTTAAAAGTAGTAATATTCAACAAAAGTCAATGAATTAAAGAGTTCAAATAAAATGATTACAAAAAAGCACTTACTAGAAATAAATGTGCTAATCTATTCTGATTTAGAGACAGCTGTATATTGTTCAGTGTTTCCTCTTTGAGTATGAATTCTAAGCCAGGAGGAGGTATAATCAATATGTAACAGAATCCATAATGTTAGCTGTGGAAGTAGTTAACCTGCAGGTTTCTTTTCCCTACACTAGAAACCTCTAAAGAGAAAATGTTTCCTATGTGGTATTTAATCACATAATGATTAAACGATCTCAGTTTTATTTTAATTAAGTAGGTAATCTTTTTATTAGAAATAGTTCTCTATAATTCATTTGTTCAGGAGATATTTTATAAAATTGAAGCTAGAAGCACATACTATCTAAGAGCAGATTTGTAACAAATCTTCCATGAAATGTATATTTAATTCATTTAAAATACTTTCGTTCGTTATATACTTCTCTAAATTAGATTCATTTTTAAAAACTGAGTTATACATTGTTTAGTGAGTACAATTGTGAACAGAATTAGTGAGAAAGTTCAGGATATGTGAGAGAATTATTAGTTGTTAAAAAAGAGGATTTTAATATTTCCTTCT